AAAAAAAAAAAAAAAAAATCGAGGTAATGGTGACGTGAAACAATATGAAGCTTCTAGTTAAATTTGAAAACGATATGTACCTACATGTTTGCCTCGAATACTATATACAGACTCTAAAGCAATAATAATCCCAAGACCTCGAGTGGAACTCTCGATTGAGGAGTTACACGGAATGCTACCAAGATACTTAGAAGAAGCGTCAAACTCTTTCATGTAGACCCCATTTGCCGAACTACATAATATCTTGCTTTTGATATTCGGGAGGTCTCATTTTGACCACTTTATGATATTTTATCGTACTAATTTTCACTTTGCCTTATTGGGCCGATCTATTAATATCATGATTGAGTCGCCCATGCCAAATCTAGAATAAAATAGTAGTTTAGAGTCGAAGGAGCGAAATCGAGTTGACTCGACTAGGAATCACGACTAAAATATGTTTAACGATTTAATATAAAATATGATATTTTACTTCATTTAACTTTCATTATCTCAAAATGTCAAAGTTATTAGTTCATGGCAAAAGAGAAATAAAGATTGAATTTTTAAGTGACATTACCAAACATTTATTTGCTGGCTCATCAAACTTGAGAATTTTGATGTTTCTTTTAACAAAAGAATTAAAACTACTCTTATCTCCTCCTGAACTAACGGTAAAATATGAATATTCTTACTTTTGTACTTGAATTTGACCGTTACTTATAGGTCAAACATATTGAATTTCAACCTTACAGTATTTTTTATAGATTTGAGAAAAATAAAATTCGATGAGTCTCATTTTAAATCTAGAATCTAATACATCAACTACTACCGAGACATTGTAAATCGCTCTTCTCACCTCAATATCTTACTGAACTACTTTGAAAGTTTCAAACTAATGGATTACTTGATCCAAAAAATTAATGAGTCATATTGTAAAAAGGGTTTCAATTTCCGAGTATAATTACAAAACAATGTCATTACATTTAGATTAAAATCAATACTAAACTAGTGAATCACAGAAAGGAAGTCTTATTATTATCGAACCCACTAACAAAACAAAGTTGAGTAACAACAAGTAAATACTATAAAAGCAAATGAACAATTTCTAAAGTTTAGAGTATACAACAGGGGTGAACGAGTATGCGGATAAATGAAAATTGAGGATTTTTGGAAGTTCCCAAATCGTGTTTTAAGTAAAAAAAGTTAAGCAATTAAATTCACTCACTATCAACTTTGCTTGAGAACTTATTAATCTCGTACATGTTTCAAATGAAAAAATGAGAGTAAAAAGGATAAAATATTTTAAAATAAAATAAAATATTAAATTTATTTAAAAAAAAAAAAACAAATAGATAAGAAAATTAAAAAATGAAATCATATTGAAAATGTTTAAACAAATCAAATCATAAGATAAGAAGAAGAAGAACAAAACAAAACAAACAAACAAAAAAAAAAAAAAAAAAAAAAAAAAT